ATAACTCGTCGTCGCTTCGGATGAAGCTGTCCTGGAGGACACTAAAGAGAGTGCTGAATGCGCAAGTGGATCGTCGATCCTGATGGATTCCTCGGATCCGTACAATCCTTTGGTAAAGAATTTCAAGACGTCGTCTCCAAAGATCCGCCGTGGGTCATACCTCGGGACCGAGATGTGCGTCATGAGATCGACCTGGTTCTGAAAACCGAATTCTGCGTAACACGCCAATGGTACCTGCCCAAAGAACATTGTGACGTCATTGATGACTTTTTCCGTGCGGAGTTCGACGCAGGAATGGTGCGTGAGAGTAAATCTCCCCATTCGACACCCACGTTTGTGTCCGGATGCCGAACGGCAAGTGGCGTATCGCTCACGCTTATATTAGGCTAAATGCTATTACCATTCCGGCACAGACGCCGATTTTTAGAAAGGGTGTTTGCCAGAATAATATGGCTGGCTGTAGAAAGTACAGCGCACTCGACTTGGTCGATATTTATTACCAATTGCTCATGAGAGCGAGGTATATTTCGCTGACAGCGGTGTAAACTCCGAGCGGGATGCTTTGGTCGTAGATAGTGATGCTTCAAGGGCTGTCAAATACACCAGCAACATTTAATCGTCTTGTGACGCAAGTGTTCAGGTCCCACCGGTGTATGCTCGAGCATAACTCGACGACATCTTCGTCCACAGTCGTGCGGGGCACGAGAGGACGGATGAGGAAAACCACATTGTCCATTTGAACGCGGTACTTGAGTACATGCGCACGAATAAGCTGTATGCTAATGCCGATAAATACGTCTTCGGCGCTGAGGAATCTCATTCTTGATGGAGCTTCATTGGGAAGTGTGGCCTTCGATCGCATCCCGCTAAGGTCAAGGCCATTGTGGACTGGCCAGTTCCAGAGACCCAGAAGGACTTGCGCAAAAGGTGTGGCCTCGCCAACTTCTTGCATAAGTATAGCGCAGATTATATGGAAATTAAACAGCCATTGTCGAATCGTCTTGAGACGGATACGGAATGGTGATGGGACACCAAACATCGAAAGGCTTTGGACAGGGTCAAAGACAGCCTCCTTCATGCACCAATTCTGGCGTTACCAGATCCCGATCGCTCTACTAGTGTCGTCTGTGACGCTTCGGACTATGCCATCCGCTGTGCATTGCTGCAAGCAGACGTCTAGAGGCGAGATCGGGTGATCGCATTCAAATCTCGCCAGCTTTAGGCTGCGGAGGAGAACTACCCAGTCCACGGCAAGGAATTACTTGCGATGAAGTATGCATTTGTCAAGTTCAGGGTTCACCTGCTTGGCTCAAAGCCGTTCGTGATCTATACAGATCATGCGTCACTACGCACTGCAACTCAGTCGCCTCACCTCTCGCAGAGTGTGGCCAGGTGGCTCTCCTTCTTCGCAGAATATAAATTCGAGGTGAAGTAAACGCCAGGAAAGCAGAATGCTTTGGCTGTTGCGTTGTCACGCAGACCAGATTATGAGCTTGCTCATGTCGCGATGGTGACTCGTCAGTAAAGGATTTGATCCGCGCCGCATACGCGAGTTATGGTATGTGTGCTATGCTGCTACAGGCACTCGAGAGCAAGGAGATTGGAAACTCGGACAAGAAATTGTCGGCGCGAACGCGCACGGTTACTCCGATATTCGCTCAATAATGGGTTGCTATCTTTTAGCACCAAAGGGAAGGATACGCCACGAATTGTGGTTCCTCACGATGAGGATTTGTAATCTATGAGGCCCACGACATCCCACTCGTTGGTCATCTCAGCCGTGAAAAGACGTACAGCTCTGCGAGTGTCCACTACTCAAGCTGTACAAATGGACAAGCACATATGTGCGCACGTGTGAGACGTGTCAGAGGGTGAAAATTTCTCCGAATGCGGCGGCGCCGCCGGACAGTTTATGCTTAATGTTCAGTTTTTAACATGTACATCCTGCTATATATCGTTTTTTTAGAATCTGATTTGTTTAATAAAGTTTTCAATTCCGCAGCGCCAAGCAATATTTCTAAGCAACAAGACCATAACCAATTATTCACTCATTAGAACTTGCTTTGATGAGCTCAGCATCTTTTGCTTAGATGGCGCTACCATGACGCATCAATTCACGCTGCAAACTAGTCTTGGTGGTGTCACTGCAGTATAATTTAAGCGAAATCGAACCAGCTCAAATGTTTAACAATCTGTTCAACATAAACCATCATAATACACAACTATACTCCTCTGGCGCGCTTTCTGTAACATATATGCGGCAGACACTTGCACAGTGAGATCAAGGATGAGTGACCATCAACCATCGCGAGTAAGCGCAACTTACTCAATCGCGTCCAACAACTTTAATGATGCTTCCACTTTTTCACGGCGCTTTATCCAGAACACTGGAGTTACTATATCCAATTCCAACAAAATGAACAGTATCAGAAGCCATTTCTTAACATTTTCAAAACTTGCAATTTTATCAGACTCACGAGCGTCGGCAATAAGTTTCTGGTGTTCGGCCGATTCGTCTTTTGTTAACGCAAAGGCTGTAGTCCAAGGCACGGATTCGATTACATTGTTGCTGCTTTTGAGACCAACCACTTTCGTGGGAGCGGAAATGTTCTTCACGACCAATGGTCGGTGCATAGACTTGACTTTTAAACATTCTGGAGCTTCGTTTTGAGACAAGAATCTACCCAGCTTTTTCGGCTCGTTCGGTCGGGGCCCATCACGTTCTTGCTGTGCTTGAATTAAATATCGGCGCTTTGCCTTAATATTGACCTTCGTCTTGGGATAAGGAAGACGCGAACCGAATGCGACTTTAGCTCGCGTGCTTGTCCCTGCGGCCGGTCGCTGTGAGCTATCTCTACTACGCTGTCTATACCAAACACACGACGGAGACAAAAGCGTTAAACTTACATGCAGTGGGGATGACAGTACGATATACTTTCTACTTAGACGATGCGATTCCATGTGATTAGTGTCCATGGTGAAGCTGAAATTTATTGCAGTTTAGTTTTCACATGTTAAATAAGGCAACATTATCCTATCATATGGAATAATAGTCCATCGGAGAGATGCCTGTCAGCGGCTGGACCAAGCTAAGCCAGCTTGCAAGATAGTGCGGGACATTTTGAACTAGTGAATCCTTCCCAATGCAGCCAAATTTAAATTTCGGTTGAGCTTGAAGAAGCTGCATGACTGCTGCAGTTTCGCATGGATGCAAGAATGTGAATGGCTCGCCTAAGATAGGGTGCCCTTCCATGGCAACTAGCCTTGAAAGATCAATGAAACCAGGAAGATGCACACTTTGAGTGAATGCATCAAGGTTAAGCGGCGTTCCATCGATAGAATGTGCTCGAAAATATAGCACGGGTGTTTGGAATATTGTATGGTATAGGATGTGAAATTCAAAAAGCGGTATTTTGTCGCCTTGACAGTGCACAACCGTCGTCTGAACATCATCGACCTGCAAACGCATTTTCAATTTGTCAAAAAGATGCAGGATGGCGTTGTTTATAATTGAGCTCACATCTTCCGACTGCAACAGCTTGTCAATATCACCACTGTCTAGCTTATCGATGTCCATCATGCCATCAAAACTTTTGGCAATATAATCCTGGCGGACATTTCCCGTCGAAACGAGATACGAGTCTCCTTCCAAATGCTAAGAAGTTCCATTGAAAGTGCAATTAACAGATCCAGCTTCGTTTTTCTACTTTACCTGCGTGCGCACCTGTCGGCGACCATGCCTCCACTCCCACGTGGCCACACACTCATCTTTTCCCACCGTTTGCATTCTCGCTACCTCATGCGACCGCAGTCGCAGCAGCTCGGCCTCCAAACAGAATCTCCTGTAGCTAAGGCTACCGCGTCTCATCTAGGTAGTAACTCACGCAACAGAATACTAGTGTTATTTCCACCAGATTTTTTTGTTCTTTCAAGGTCAAAACAGTCTCATGGACCCTTCAGCGCTCCTCGTATGGCTCCTGTACGCCAGTGTAGCCCTAGTAATCTTACTCCTAAGCACTTCACTTGTTCTCTACACACAGCCAAGACATGGGGCATCTTCGTCTCTTGCAGCTTTCGCTCATACGTCCCCTCTCAGTGCGGCACCGATTACTGTTTCTTCGCGATTTGTTAATACGGTCTGCATCATGGCGCTTTACATTGCATTTCTGTGCTTGTTCACGGCCCCTGTGGATGTTTTCTTACTTGAAAACGCACTTCCGTATGTGTCATTAAACGTCCGCGCCCTTCAAACGATGTACCATGTTTATTTTGCAGCACTAGCGCTATTTTTTTTCGTGGGAGCTCCGCTAGCCTATAACTATGCCAAGCAGACAGAAATTGCACATTTAACGCTCAAATTCTCCGCTCAAAGTCGATTTTATGCTGCAGCCAAGCGCACGGGATGCTTTCTGCTCGGTCTTTCCTTCCTAGCGGGGATGCTAATGGTGGTACTATTATGCGGAAAACCTGCCAGCTCTGATATCGACTGGCTCAGACCGCTACTTAAGTTTTCATCCGATGTAGAGACTTTTTTGAGACTGATGGTGGGTGTCCTCGCACTCACGGGGATGTACCTATGGATTTTTGTGTGTAGCCGAGGACTAGCTAGTGTGCCAGTGGTGGGGCTATTGATGGAAGACCACAACATCGATGAGAACAAGACAACATTTGAAGAATTACTACACGAAAATGCAATGGAGACACAGGCGACAACACAGACAAGAGAGACAATTCTGCAGCGATATGCCGTTGAACAACAAATGAGTGGGGCAGATCAGGAACGATTGTCGCAGCTCAAAACACGGGAAAAGCTGCTAGAAGAACGTCGTGATGTACTAAATGCAAATTTACGGAAATTTGCATCAATTGGCAAGTTGTCTTGTTGGAAAATTCCTATTGGCGTTATTCTGATCATTCTGTCGCTGATGATCGTAACTTCAATACTTATCACCAGTATCGACAAGATGGCACATTCTGGGTTTGAACAAGGATTTCTTTTAAATTCGCCCGAGTTTTTTAATCCAATGGATCTGCTCCTAGTTCTCGCCTCGCGTGTGTTTCCGCTGGACTATGTTGTGTTTACAGTGTTATTTGTTTACTTGTTTGCAATTTCGTTGATAGTACTCAAGCGTCATGGTCTCCAGTTTTTATGCTTTCGACTTGGGCGTTTGCAACCGCGACTGACAAGTGCTGCCACAATGACAATGCTATCGCTCGTGCTGATGCAACTTGCTGTCATTGGACTATTTGCGCTGCTCACAATGGCACCACAATACGCAACATTTGGACATCAAACGTTTTCAGACGCTGCGGGTCAGGTCGTACCCTGCACTTTGCAGGAGGCAGCAAAAGCTGCAGCTGCTGGTGGTTCTCCGACCCATTGTCGATTGACACAAATGGCAAGGTTTTACAACGGTCTGGCAGTAGAGTTGCCTATGTTTGGCGCAGCCTTTTTTTTAGGTCAGCTCATTTTTGCTACAGCTTTTGTGCCCTGGATTGCACATGCCTACTGTATGGCAAAGAAACTGGCCGATCCAATCGACTCCACACATCAGCCGCTATTAAGTGACTATCAAGACTAAATGAGTCGCAAACTCTTGCTGGAACCACAAACGTCATTTTTTTTAAAGTTAAATCGTGTAAAATGTCACCACTTCTGTGAAGCTTCAACTTTGAAATCCTATCTACTTCAATCCATCTTTAGTCTCCTCGGCTTTATCGATGACTCACTAATTTACTAATGATTGTGAGGCGGCATGTTGATGTTAGCATCCATTGAGCTTGTGCGTTCTTTGCCGACAAAGAAACGGTTTTGTAGGCCGCCAAAAATGTTTCGAATTCCACCAGCAGGGCTACCCGACCCGCTCGGCGGCCCCTTCTGGCCGTTTTGTGGTGTGTTGGAGCCCCGCGATTCATCGAATGGACCAACAGTCCGATTAGGATCACATCCAGCTAAAAAAGCTTCATACGATTGTTCGCGCTCCTGTAGCAACTCTTCCGTCCGAATCTGTTTAGCCTCCACACGCGCGCAAACCTTCTCGAAAGCGAGCTTAGCAGCCACATATTCTTTTTGCAACGCGTCAAGATCGTGTTTGATGCCAGCCAATTCGTGTTCAGCTTCCTGAATGCTACGCAAAGCAGGAGACTGCTCGTCAATCTTTAAGCACTTAATCGAGTACTTAACAGCTGACAGCCAATTATCACCGTAGACACAAAATAAATGCTCACCCTTTTCGAGTGGCACCGTCCGTCGTACCTCAAAAAGCGACAATTTACTGAAAATTTCGGGTAATTCCGAATCGTTTGTGGATAAAGGCCACAATTCGGGATTGAGATCCATGAGCTCCACAGTGCTGGAAAGATACATGTCCGCAGCGGTACAGCGCGCTTTTTTTACTGACTCTTGCACCATGCGCACTGCTCCATGCTGGTCAAATAATACCAGTTTAAACTTGCTTTTGCTTGCCGAGCGACACATAAAAACGACAGAATCTCGATCCTTGTCCACCTGCAGCTTGTAAAAATGCGCGTCTTGCTTGTCCACCTTAGCGTGACGCTCCATGCCGAAAACCATCCGGGTAACATGCGGCAATTGCGTCGAATTGTTGCGCTCATCGCACAGGTCGCGCGCCGCGGACAGCACAGTCTGCGAGATCTGAGTGGGTATGGGCATGCCGATTTTCGTGAAGAGCGCACCGACGACACGGCCAAAGCCACCCATGGACTCGACATCTACACTTTCAAACTCTATGTCCTTGCCACTTTCACCTGCCACATCGTACTGGCGGCGCTTATTGGGATCACTTAATACCGCGTAGGCAGCGCTAGCCAACTTAAACTTGTCAGCGGCCTCGACTGAGCCTGCGTTACGGTCTGGGTGATACTTAAGCGCCAACTTGCGGTAAGCTGTTTTTATCTCCAGCTCACTGGCTGATTTTTCCACTCCTAGAACCTCGTACAGGTTGGTGCTTTCCTCGGGCTGCTTTGGCACAGGTTCACTCATCGCTGGACAGCTCAAAGGGGGGATGAAAGAAAATGAAAGGGTGCCTACTATCTGATAATGATTGGCTCAAATATCGATAGGTGTTGCTCTAGTGAAAAATTGAATCAGAAAAATCCTATTCGAAAAGGTTTAGTTGCTTTACAGCAAGCTGTAGGCAATTTAAATGCAGCTCCTGACATTGCAGCCTAACAAGCAAGCTACAGTATGAGCATTATTTCCGAAACAAAACAAGAAGACCACACATGGCCCCTTCCTCTTTTCTTTAACAAACGCGAACTTCCACACTTTTAGTCGCCTGTCGTGTCCTTCCGATTTTGTACGCCACTCGCTCCTTCACCTCATCCTTATCCTAAAGTTTAATTCTACATGTTAGTCCGCATGCGCACCACACTTTGTCGTCTCTCACTCTGCATCATCTCCGCTGCAAACATGACGAATAGGAGGACAGTCACGACAGGAGCTCTTAAATAAGGTCCGCGACGTTCATGGGCATCTCATCGATCTGCGTGTTGTAAAACTGCTCAATGTCGCGCAAGTATCGCACGTCATTATGCGTTAAGAAGTTAATGGCCACACCCTTACGACCGAAACGACCCGAACGACCGATGCGATGAATATAATTTTCACGGTTCGTAGGAAGGTCATAGTTGATAACAAGCGACACTTGCTGCACATCAATACCACGGGCTAACAGGTCAGTGGTGATCAACACACGTGAGGAGCCTGAGCGAAATTCACGCATAATAATGTCACGCTCACGCTGCTCCATGTCACCGTGCATGGCTGACACCGTAAAGTCCTTCGACTGCATTTTTTCAGTCAACCAATCGACTTTTCGGCGCGTGTTGCAGTAAATGATGGCCTGTGTGATCGTCAACGTTTCGTAGAGATCGCAGAGCGTGTCAAACTTCCACTCTTCGCGGTCAATGGCAATGAAGAATTGCTTAATACCTTCAAGTGTCAATTCGTCACGCTTTACGAGAATACGAATAGGCTCGCGCATGAAGCGGTGAGTAACTTCAAGCACATCCAAAGGCATCGTGGCCGAGAACAGAGCCACTTGAACTTTTTCAGGGAGAAATCTGAAAACTTCATAAATCTGATCCTTGAATCCACGAGACAGCATTTCATCGGCTTCATCAAGCACAAACATTTTGACCTCGTCTGTACGCAAAGCACGACGATTGATCATGTCACCTACACGACCAGGAGTGCCTACCACGATGTGCACGCCCTGCTGCAACGTGCGAATGTCATCACGCACTGCAGTACCACCGACACAAGCATGCACCTGAACGCTCATATAGTCACCAATGGCAACAACGACTTTGACAATTTGCTGCGCAAGCTCACGTGTAGGAGCGAGAATCAGAGCCTGGGTCTCCTTAAGACCAATATCAATCTTCTGCAGAATAGACACGGCGAACGTGGCGGTCTTACCGGTACCGGATTGAGCTTGAGCAATGCAGTCGTGGCCCAAAAGAATAGGCTTTACCGCGCGTTGCTGAATAGCAGACGGCTTCTCAAAACCGTAAGCATAGATACCACGCAGCAGGTCCTCACGCAGGTCCATCCCGTCAAACGTCTCAATAACCTCATCCCAATTCGTCTCAATATCTCCTTCATTGAGTTGCATCTGCTCAGTCTGACCATCTTCGACCTGATCACTACACAGAACGTAAATGACGCTATTAGTGTGATTCATAGTACACAACGATTGGCAGCTTACGTCGGCTTACGATCCTCGGCATCAGCCATGGCTATTTTGGAGTTCGTTATCTACGGCGCGTAGATGTGAAAGAAAATGAGAAAAGCAAGCGGAACGAACAAGTTCTGCTGTCTTCCTCTTTGTGCGTTTTGTTCGGTTTTGGTAGCCTGAAAGAGGGATCTAATTACCTCTTTACTCACTTTAATTTTGTATACACTTCCAAGTGGGTGGCCAGCAGACTTTCCCTTCAATCTGTGTTTGTAACGTAATTCGTGTCGAGTACACAGGTTGCACTATTGAACGACCAAAAGAAGAGTGATTTCATATTTTCTCGTACTTTTTGAAACCTCAGTAATCGCAAAAAAATAGCTTCACCTCGAAAGAAGTCGTTGATGTTGTCCGCGCACCTTACGCCTCCTTTCAATTGGAAAGTATACAAAATTGGAGGATTTTTGTCAAGGACAGGTTTTTGTTAAACGTGGTATACACAAGCAAAATAATAGTTTGATTAATTTGTTGGATATAGTCAGCGCATATGTAGTGGCAGTTTATGTAGAATTAATGTTTAGTACTCAGCAGAGCACATTTAGAAATTATGTATCAAAGACGGCAACCCTTGTGCGTTGTCTTTGAGCCAAAGTGATCTCTATGCAAGGTGCACGGCAACTCCGATGCTCTTGGAAGCACTAATAGTCAATCCGACGGTCGAGTCGTGAAAAGACTGTATCCTCTGTGAGAATGAAACGCGAGTTCCTCAATAACTTGAATCCAAGAGAACTAGACACGCTTGATAACCTTGTCCCGAACATATCAGCGAGGAGATGGTCTAAAGGTCAAAAGCGGTGATTGGTCGGCTGAAGGCATTCAACAGCCATTTGTCGTGGTTTGATCTGAATTGCACTTCCCGGTATGATAATGTGCTGGAGAGGCACTTTGACGAACGCTTCGATTGGACGCCGGTAGGGGTACTCACCGTGAGGTCGCGAGTGTTTTGTGTCCAGCTTATTGAGAGAACGAATGAAGAAATTCCCCTCCGAATTGGGTCAGTCGGATGGCCATGAGTGTGATCATGCACCAGGCGAAGCGACAGCACGAGTTGACATTCTCTGGTGTTTACTCTGTGAGAGACACACTTCAACATGAAATGGTCGGTGTTAGTTGGCCGCGCCATCTTAACAAGCAAAACGTATGCGTTTAAATTTCTTGTTCACACATCAAGGCAGGCGGGAAGATAAGAACATACATATGTCCAAAAATTGAGAGATCCCATCGCCGCGACAGTGGCAGACCCTCTTCCGGCGGCTGACAGGCGTTATCTCCTTGGGGTGCCTTCGAATAGATGCGGGTCGCACCAAGACCAACCGAGTCCACCTTACCCCATTCTAAGAAGCGGTAGATGTCGTACTGAGCGCGGACCAAGTCAGGCATCGAAGATGGAAGCTCTGTGAACGCTTAAACGGTGATGAATCTTAGCCATGCTGAGGAATCGCGGAGTACAGCTTCCGCGCGACGAAGGCCAATTGGGTTACTGAAGGTGGAAGCTCTCCGAGCATACCAGTGGTGAAATGTTTAAGCCGTGCTGAGAATGAAGCGCACGATCTCTTGGCTAATGAGCATCTTCGCGGTACAGAAGTTACATCTATGACAGCACAATAATGTGCGCCTTGTGTGACGCCTCTCTCGGTTGATAGGTTCAATGAGTCGAGCTGCCATGCAAAGTCGTCAAATCAACTTCACACGGGAAATCTTCGGGTCCCGGGGCAGCGCATTGAAAACGAACTGGGCTGTGATGTACCACATGAATGTTGTAGTCAATGGGACCCAGCCCCACAGTTTATTTCTAAGCGAGGTGGGGCTCGCAGCCGAGGATTTTGGTTGCTGATATCAAAATTTTGGGATTTGCCAAGCCGATAAAAATCTCGGAAGGTTTAGAAGCGTCGTGCGCTTATGCAGTCCACGCGACTGTTGGAAACAGTAAACTGTACGCGGGTGTGACTTCCGACGGCTTCGTGAAGCCTAAAAGTTGATATCACTGAACGGTACTGTTGGAGCCAGAAAAGGGCTGGTCTCGTCTGCCGTAAAACAAATTTTGGTAGTGAGGGAGAGTACTCACGAATCTGACGTCGTGGTGACAAGAGATCCGCCACGCCTGATTTCCCTTATGCAGCGGGGCTGTCGTAGCATTAAGGTCACCGACCTTACGTTCTAAACTAGAACCAGTAGGAGTGTAGCGAATCACAACATGCTAACTTCAAGAGAACCCACAACCTTAACCCAAGGCGAATAAACTCTGTTGTTCAAAATGTAAACTGTGATTATTGTTTTATTTGCGGCAAAGCCGCTTATACCTAGATCTATAAGATTTCCTAATAAAAAAGCAAACCTACTTAAATTGCATAACTATGGGCAGTTTCGCCACGTACTGGCTTCTTATTGTGTAGCCACACCATTGTGTAATCACATCATCATGTGTGACACACCCCTTCATACCAGGGTACGCGAATCACCGTTACATCTTGGATAGCGGAGTATGTCATGACTTTGATCTGGTTTTGGCGCCAAATATTGCGTAACACGACAATGACCATTACGGAGGAAACAGTGTGTCATCATGGACTCTTTTTTTTCGCGCAAAGCATGAATTTGGTGCGAGAGAGCAAGAAGAGGTGCCTTTTTAATAAATCAGAAAGGCGAACGGCAAGTTGTACATTGTGCAGCGGGGCTGCCCTAGTTCTTTGTGCTAAGCTAAGGTCACCGACCTAGCGTTCTTTACAAGAACCAGTACGAGTGTAGTGGATCACAATCTGCTACCTCTCAGAAGCCTCAATCAAGGTACAGACGCTCTTTCGCTCAAAGTTTAAACTGTACTCGCTTGTTTTAGTTGCGACAGAGCCGCCAACATCTGAAACCTTAGGCTTTTCTAATATTAAGATAGTAAAACCTAATAAATATACATTACTACTGGCAATCCTGCCACGCAGTGGCTTCTTGTTACGGTGTAGCGACACCATCGTGGGATCACACCAGCTTGTGTAATACACACCTACGTATGGTCACATCATCTTGTGTGATCTGCTCTTTCATACAAGGGTACGTGTAACCCCGTTACACTCACCATCATCAAAATTGTGAATATCCACAATTCACATTTACCTGTCGCCTCATACGAGGCTCGCGTGTCTGAGACACCGTTTCGTTATTAATATCATCCTTGAACATTCTCCGTTCAATGAGCCCTGAGTCTGTGACACGCAAAACACCGTGCCTAGCTGGTTCCGAGGACGCCCGCGGGCAAAGCCCTTCTTCTTCTTCTTCACAGGGTGCATCTCTGGACAGTAACGTCCGCGGTTTTACAGGAAGCACATCCAAGCCCGAACGCAACACTCCGTGCCCGCCCCGGGCGGTGGATTTTCTCGTCGAGGAGCTAGTGGAAGTCGACTATGAGTCGGATACTCCTTTTCCAGCATGGGGAACGGATGAGCTCTTAAACTCCTGCTACAAATCCGCGGGATAGAAAATGAGAGGTGTATGTCTACCACCTCGCGCACAAGGCCCGCCCCAGAAGAAGTAGCAGCCAGAAGATAAAAATTGTGGGTCAAATTGTCTTCATTGGCAGATTTTTGGCATCGAAATCATTGCATTGCGCATACACCCTAAAAAGCTCAAGTAGCGTTTCAACGCCGTCGGACTGCGCTTACTTAACCGGTCAAAAATCACATTGCTGAACTAACAATGAAGCTAGATTGAAGGAGTTTTTTTAATGAGATAACAGGTTTGAAGTCATAAACCCAAACTTCTGCATAGAATTGCTCCAACTCCTTATTTAAACATTGACAATTTTTGGTACTCTTCAAATAACGTTTGCCATGTCCCGGTCGGCTTCGTTAGATTCTGGATATAGCAAATATGGCTGCCAATATGATACTCTACAACACCTTGAATTTTGCATGACAAGTTCAAAGAGGATTGCGAGTGTGTTTTAAACTCAAGACAGAAAAGCTAGATTGTAGGCCTGATCTTCTGTTGTCCACATGAGAGACGAAACTCTCAATACGCTTCTCGTCGTAATTGTCACGAGTGACTGGCACAAATACCACTAGGCGTTCGAGAAATGCCGGATTTTAGTAGATGAAGGGCGGCAGACCTCTATTTTACATTAACTCAATTGTGTTGCTTTGGCCGCCGATCTTAGTGCTGGTTCAACGCGCACGCGTTATATTTGAAGAGTCAATAGGGCTGCAGCTACAAGACGAAACAGCTCGGGCTTCTCCACGACTACAGGCTCGCTCTCTTGCGGAAGTGGTGGAAGGTGCGATTGCAGCGCGTCGAAGTCGAAATATTACTTCAGACGCAGCTCAAAATTTCTACAGCCGCAAAGATTATTAGTTTTGGTATCAATGGGCAAGCACGAAGTCCTTTGAATGTAGCGCTGTATCCTGTCACATTCGACGAAATGGGGCGACCAAAAGATTGCTCCGTCACTCGCGTGGAAATCGTGCAGACCAAGTTTTGGGCGTACTGCGCATCAAAACATTAAGGAATCGTCCAGTAACATGATGGCAAACATGTTTTTCGTAGTTCCAGGATTTGGTGAAGACAGTCAGAAGATTATTCTAATGTGTCGATTTCTCATTATTTTTGCTGTTCCACTTTGGAAATCTCGATACAGCAAAATTATTTGTTGGAACCAGACATATTCACTCAAGCGTCTAGCCTAAATATACTGTTTACGTCAATTTTCATATATATACCGTTACGTGCTTGAAAGCTTGCTTTTGTGTATGCCTCTCGGTAGGGAGGTATATGCCTCAGCAAGTCTGACACTCAAATTAAGCAATAACGGTGGAGACGCTTACCGGTACACTCCGGGTTTGGCAGTCCATGAGTATCGACTTTATGTTTCGCCTGCCGAAGGACTCAGCGGGCAACACGGTTGTGGTGGTCTTTGTGGACCAGCTGGCTCATCTTGCGGCAGTGCCGTACACCATCGACGGTGTGGGTACAGCGACGCTGTTTGTCGATCGTGGCTTTCGACAACACGGACCCCCGGAGTTAATTGTCTATGACAGAGACCCACGCTTCACTGGGAAGTTTTGGTCTACAATCGTCAGGGAGCTGGGCACCAAGTTGACTATTTTAACAGCGGACACCCGCTGACGCCGCCATTCCATGGCTTAGGGCTTGGTGAAGGAATAGCCATCCAGCGAGCTGATGTTAGCCCCCTCACTGTCCGTAAAGAATTCAAAGAGTCTTTGTCTACCAGACTGAGTGTCCTACGACACGCTCGCAATGCGATGGCTGAAAGCCAAGATATGCAGAAAGAATATGCAGATAGAAAAGGAAGAAGAAAAGCTGGAAACTTTGAGGTTGGAGACCTGTTTTATTAGATGCTAAAAGCCTTCCTACACGTGTCTCTCTGCGAGCCGCCGATACCTAACACCTTAATTTTTCCAAACTCATATAGCAATACCTAATTAATATAGTAAAACCTAATGGATATGTATTATTACTGGCAGTTCTGACACGTAATGGCTCTTGTTACGGTGTAACCAGATCACTGTATAACTATATCAACTTGTGTAATCTACACCCATGTACGGTCACACCATCTTGTGTGACTCGCCCTTTTATACAAAGTTACGTGTAATTCTTGTTACAGAGATGAAGACTGCTTGCCCGCTAGCACTCAGCAGCTTTGAGAATGCGCTGCTAAATCGCATCCAGGAGCGTCCCAACCGGAAGTGGTAAAAAAGGGATGCCACTCATGAGGAGGGCGTTGATGTTTAGCATCCAGGCCTTTAATAATCAAAACATAGAGAATTCTTCCATCTAAATGCGAAAATGTGTTGGCCATGACTCGACCAGGGTCAAGCGCATAGCGCTGGCGATGAGACCAAATGAGCACTAATGGACATTATTTTCCAAATGAGGCTTTCCAAAAAGGGATTCTTCAGCGACAGAAGTCGCGGATATTCACACTGCCTACCCCGGCATATTAGGTGCATTTTGAAGTCTTGTTCATTCGCCAAGGAAGGAAACCAGTGGACAATGTCCAGAATTCAACTACACAAATCACCGTATGGTATCAGACTCTTCTTCAAAGCGGTAATGGCAACCATAATCATCGAGGATCTCCGAATGAGTGCGGCTCACAACAAAGTCTTCCACGTTTAACCTATGCGATGAGGTAAACTTTTGAGTGTTGCATTATAAAAACGCAATATATAATGTGGTATAGTTTTCGTACAAAGGGGGTCGGCTGGGGTGCATGGACGGGAAGCTTTTCGATCACGTATGGGGCGATGGACCTCGGCGGCCATGCTGAAGAGAAAGAAAGAGATCTCTTAGCTGCTGAGCAGCTGCGCGATACTTGCATATATTTTTCACACGTGAAAGGCCTAAACACCTGCACCCAGTCACTCTCCAATCTCTGTTGAGGCAAAAGTGGAAATTGTCAATTCGTGGTTTATATATTGTATATTTGTGCATATCATGTGAGAATGGTGAAAGCAGCTGTGAGCTGTTGTTTTATGTGCAGGGTCGGTGAACAGTGATACAGCTGGGTGCCTTAATGCCTGGTATCAGAGCCAACGGAGTTAAAGACGACTGCAACAGAAGAGCCATGCCCGGAAGACAAAAAATGATTCAGCCTTCTGACTATGTGGCGGTAGTATTAGGTCGGCGCTTGAGTGACGAGCCCACGATGTGAAGAAGCAAAAAAACGGCGAGAAAGATTATTTAGCTGTGAATAGAGAGACCTGGCTTGTCTTAAGGGCTGTAAGTCTCGTCCATATTCGTCTGGCATATTTTTAACTCCCAGAGCTGAGAGCTTCATCTCTCAAAGATCTTTCAGTGATTTGTAAGACGGTGACGTTACCGAAATAGTTTATCAAGTATCGAAGGAGGAGCTAAGCTCGTCATCAGTCATGGATAAATTTTCACTGAGGACTTTCACAGAGCACTCAGTGCGAAGAGTGTGATTGTTTGCTAACCCCCTCTACGGAAACCTTTGTGCGGATTAATCACGAGAAATCCACCATGCGTGTTTCCCCGGGTATAAAGAAGTGCGTTCTGACACCGAATTGGCTCCGGGGAAACAACGATTTCGCCATATGTCAATGAATATGAACAAAGTCTCAGTGTCATTGACGCTTTCTTCCATACGATTCACGATGCGCGGCTGGCGAGACAAATGAACCCTTTCGTCGGTTCTGCGTTCCAAACTCACCCAAACTTCGACTTGATCTGGTTGATAATGCTGATGATTCCGTGGTCATGGCTCATCCCGGTGTTTGCCGCACGAAAGTTGCGGCACAACAATAACGCTATTGACCGTCCGTGGACCAAGAAATTAAAGCGTATGTACAAAGCTGCCAAACTTGCATGAGATACAAGCCTTCTTCCAGAACACGTCAAGGCGAGAGAACTACGATTCCAGTTCAGCATCAACGCTGAAAAGTTATTTCGATCGACTTCATCAGGCATTTAACCGTTTTTGATGGGTACGATGCGATCAAGGTTGTTATGGACAAGTTATCGAAACGACCTATTTTTTTTACATACCGATGCATACAACTGCAACTGCCAAAGATATCGCCACTTTGTTTCTCATGGACATCATTGACATTACAAAATTCCAGCTACTTTCAGATCGCGATTCAAAATTCACATCAAAATTCTGGACTGTTTTGATGGCGCACCATGGAATATTCTCGCAAAGATATCCGCTCGTCGCGCCCAAGCCGATAGTCAGACTGAGCGTCAGAATGGACCACTTAAAATTCCCACTGTTATTCACTGTATACCAAGGTAAGGACTGGATCAAGCACTTCCCGATGGTTAAGTATGCTCGCGCTACTCTAGCTGCAACGTCTTCGAAGATGTCTTCATTCTTCGTCGACATTGTTTGTAAACAACGCAATCATGCTGCACCAGTGATTGAAGATAATTGGATTGTCCAAACGTTGAACATGCGTCACAGTACAATAAACGTCACCTGAAAGTCATCAACGTAGCTCGATAAAATATGATCAAAGCTCAAAAGCGTCGAAAGCGGTTTTAAGATTGTAAGTGTAATGAAGTCGCCTTCCCACTTTGTAATTTATTATTGTTATCGACCGCAGATCTAAACATCAGTCATGCTATTGCTGGCGAATTAGTCCGCCTACGCAAATATGTTTCAATGATTTTTGGTTCATACACGATCATTTGCAAACAACAACGTAGCAACGCTTGACGTACCGCGCGACAAACGACACTTGTATAAAAAATTTAACGTCGACAAGCTCCGCGTTAAATACAGCATCTTCAAATGATTCAAATGCAAATCGATTTCAGAAACAAGTCCAATAGTCTTTGAGCGATCCGGCGACAAGCTGCGCATCATCACTGGTACGTAAGTTTGGTTTATTGTGCTGGCAACACGATCTCTTAGGATGTAACATAGTCTCTGGCTGCTACCGTCACTAAATAGTCTTCGTCTGCGAAGTATTTTAATCGAAACGCGTGGAAATCAGTTTTGTACAATCATGAGGTGTCGGGCTGCAAATGAGTGTACACCCTCACATACAATCCGAAACGACCCGATGCAGGCAGCTAAACATCTGTCCTGTGATTCTGTTCGACGCAAGACTTCAGCACATAGTCTCCCACGCTGAAGCTAGCCTTTCTTGCACCAACTTTTTTGTCTTTATTTCTTTGGGTCTGCTTTCCGTATTCACAGAATGTATTTGAAGGGTACTTTTGTGCTGCTCTTTGAGTTTGTGCGGGTCGGGGTGGTTTGTCACCCCACATCTCGTATGTTGCTCTAGGTCTACACAGAAATTTAACTAGCTCGGCGACGATAGTGCATAGAATAACCCCACAAAAGATTTGTCCCCCAGGAGCCTTGAAACCTTCATAGACCTTTTTTCGCTTATAAAATGCATACACTACAAATCTTTAATTGTTTACACTAATTTTTCATCAAATGGGATCACGAGAACACTTGTAGGTCAGAAAAGAACATCAAGTTTGCCAGTCATCGAAAGACTATACTTGTTAATCTCCCTGACGAAACTGTCAGACGAGTTTAGATGTGAGCTAGCAAATAAACTCCGCACGCCAGTAGTTGCACTACCAAGTCGAGAGAGATTGTTGTAATTGCGTTCGTTAAATTGCTGACGTGGCTACTGCTTACGTTGAAGTTTTGTCACCTGCCGTAAATAGAGGCTAGCATAGGATCTTTTAAAGGAAACAGAGGTAAGAACATAGAAACATCAGATTAGGCTTTCACATGTAGAGCTCAGTTACAATCAATCCCACTCTGACTTTTTCACTCCACCCCAACTGCCACAGTGCCAAACACAGCAAGCCTCCCAATGCAGTGACACATTTAATTACCGACACATTCGCCGTCAGTCGCGGCATCATTATACGCCAATAACGATAGTGGAAATCAGTGACAGAACAACAGCAGGAGCTATTGGAGTGCATAAACGGTACATTTACGGGCTCGCAACTAACTGGAACTGCATGAAGAAGCGTATCCAATCGTTTGTGCATCATATCGACTCGACTATTTGCTCGAGGCTTCCAGTTATTTTTTGATCACCACAATCAAATTACGCTTTCGCGCCAGAAAACGAATTTAAAAAGCGTAATCAGGGCAAATTGTAGCGTTTGGCAATGAAAGAAGTACCCTCACCAAATAGAGTATATAACAAGTGTCAACAATGGAGGGGTCCATATGGCGTCGCGATGAGCTGGTACTCGTAACATCAGAGTAGCTTTACCATCCATGGTGCTTCAAAATAGCAGGTGGCAGTCAACTAAAGGCAAGCGTTGCCCGAGGGCAGAAAGGTATGGCCCAAGCCAATCATTGAGAAGAGAAGATCAATAGGACCCAGATGATACGATGTAAAAGCTTTACGTTAGATGCGACACCGGATGCGGCAACGCATCGCGAGAGCTTTAATAGAACGGACCAAAGTCAACTGCTAAATCTCCGAATAACGACCGGCATGGCTTTGCGCGAATCTCTATGACATCGGCCGGTCCAGCAGTGCTCCAGCATGGCTTTCCCAGAAACGATCACCCACAGATCACGTATCTCGAGTATACTTTGTAACTTGAACTCTCATACGCGGCAGATCGTACGTCGAAATTGCTGGGCGGGGTCATCATCAAATGCAGAGACTGCTAGGGTCGGTTATATAATTTCTTGAATATGTTGATGACAAAGTCCAAAGTGATTTTATCGGTCATGAGTTCAAGCAATATTTGCTACATCTAAATCTAATTTAAGAAATCCTGTCGTCTACTCTAACTGGATATTCTGGCGTCAACTCTTACCGAATATAATGTCGTCTTGGTATCTGGAAAGAATACAATTGGTGGTCAAAACGTCTCCATTTGAACAGTTCAAACTGTATAGGTTGAGAAAGGTGTGTTGGAAACTGCAGCGTGCTGGCGTAACTTTGCGCTTTGAGAAAGCGTAAGTTAGGTCGCTGAACTCTTGTTCTATACTCAGAACAAGTACGAGTTTAGCGGATCGCAATCCGTTTACTCCAAGAGTAATTATAGCCTTAACCCAAGGCTAATTCACTCTTCGGTTTAAATCCAAAACTGACTTTATTTTATTTTTATCTGCGGCAAAGCCGCCTCATTTTAAATTCATAGATTCTCCTAAATATGTATAGTAAAGTCAATACATGTATAACTACTGGCTATCCCGCCCCGAACCGTATTCTTGTTTGAGTGTGGTCACACCATGTCTATCTGGTGTGACACACACCCCTGTTACCAGGGTATGCGTAACCCCGTTACACTCTCCCTCATTAAGATTGAGAATATTTACAGTTCCAATCGATTATTGCCTCAACGAGGCTTGCGT